TCAGCATTACCGTCAAACGAGTTTTATGTCTGTCTGAGGGTCGGAATTCCGTCGCTCAAGCCCAAGGTTGCCAAAAGATTGAAAAATAATGTTTTAAGATATCGACTTTTATTTTATAAATTTAAATATGTAACAAAACGGAACATATAAATAAAATTTATTTTATTACAATTTTGTGATTAATTTAATTACTACTTGTGAACACGAATTGGCTACACTGTACAACAACTCCTGGTCAACTCTTCTATAGAGACGCACAAAGAAATATACTACTTATATACTCTGTAATTTCTTATGAGAAAACGCAAATTGCAATTGAGAAAACGGGCAGTTTTCGAGGGCCGCTGTGTACATTTAAATTTGAGGATATTCCGCTTTTAAACTATGAAATCACTCTCCCAAATAGTGGGATTTGACTTTAGTTGAGGAGATATATTGTGGAATGGAAATTTTAGATTCCCCATATCCCTAATAACATCTTTATCAACGTCTGTTTTGCCTTGCAATTTTTACAAGGCACAAATTAAAGCAAAAATCTGAATTTGGTTTCGAAAATTATTTCACGGATTTAAAAACATATATTGCATTTTGAAACATATCTATTGTTTTGAATATATGTTTGCTTGCGGAGCCATGTGATATGGATCCATAATCGATAATTGATATAATATACAATCGAAAGAAAACGAGGTTTCCACATCTGCATCCCACCATGTTTTTGTAATTGATTTGAGGAAATTTAGACCCTACTTACACTCAAGATAAACTCACAGTTAACTTGCGATCGAGAATCCTTCTCAAATATTTAATTAAAGAACTGAAATTCAAATCATACTCATTCAATTTTGTTTTATATTCCATTCAATTGGGGATATTTTGTCAGGTTAAAATACTGATACTTGATTTACTTGACAAAATTTCAAATTCATTATGTTTAAACCAATTTTTGGACCTAACATGTATTTTTTTATCTAACAAGTTTAAATACAATTATGAGATTTTGTTGTAAGTGAGTACATATTAAAGCTATCATATTCTATTATTTTAAATCGGATATTTTCAAAAGATATTAAATAATAGAGAGCTTAGAACTGATCTTAGACTTAGAATTATAGAGATTCTTTTAGATAAGTCATGTAAATGATCTATGGCACAAATAGTGCTCCTTTTCTTGCTACAAGGGGGTTTACGACGATTAGTGTGGGGCTGATAATCTAGAAACTCAATTATGTTATATTTGTTTTATTATTCTGTTTATATTTGTTATATTTGTCTTGTTTATACTATTTATACATTTGTGGTGTCCACATATATTGCAGTTCTTGTAGTAGATACTGTAATTGTTAATCATCTCTACGGGCCGCTTATGTCAAGCGGTGGACATAAATTACATGTTAACTATGATAAGGACTATAATACACGAGTACGTAATTAACTACCAGGTGGTGTATATTTTAACTTATTGCATTTTTTACCCCCGAATCGAATTATGACGTTAGAAATTAAAAAAAAACGTCTTATACATAATGTGTTTAGACATATGTAAATAAAATGACCCATTTTGGTAATACGTTGTTTATTTCGTTATCTTTCAGAAAACTGACGCAAAGTAGTCCCTGCATCTCTTATCAATGGGCTGGGTTTATCGACCACATGACCTAAACGGCCAGTGGAAAGGTCACGTGGTTGATAAACTCATTAGGATTAGATTCAGGGACTGGTTTGCGTCAGTTTTCTCTGTCATACTGGGGGAACATGCATGAATTGCAGAGCTCAGTCTATTTGTATTAAACGTCTATCGTATTAGGTGTCTAACCAATGTGTTGGTTATACTGAGATGATCTTGGTACTAAGACTTTTTCGTTGATAAATTTTACGAAAATGTTTTCCTCATTTCACATTCCCACTAGATAATCACCAACATTTTCAATTATTTTCGTCCTCACTTTTACCTTAAACATCCTTAATTATATCAATCTTCTTTTATTTTACTAAACTCGTTGGAGTTCGTATTGATTTTTATTTATAGAAAGATACTCGTAGAATAATAATCTCAAATAATCTGAATTTGGGTAATAAAGTATCTTCCAAGATTCTGATTCCAAGAAACAAAATACTCTAAAAGTCAAAAAGAAAAACAGAGCGATGGAAATAATATTTCCGATACAGTGCGATATGGCCAGGAAGGGAAATAGGTTACATATTCATAAAAGTTGCATAGATATGCCTGGTTGACAGTAATCTACATAAATAGGACAAGTACACGCATTTTTATTCATTATTGCGTACATCACGTAAAGAAGAAGAATAGAAATTCAATAAAGACTTCAACTTTTGATACACACATTAGAAAACATTTTTACATTTGAAGCAAATGTGGATTAAAAAATTATAATCATTGAATTTCGTACATATTTAATTAGTCTGGAGAATATATGCAAGGTTTATCAAAATATTCTATTAGTAAAACATATTCAATTGTAGGCATTGCTCCGAACGACCTCTTCGTCAAGCTCCAATGTAAACCCAAATGGTGATACAGTCTATCATTTTCATCATTTAAAACGTTCTTTAATCGATGTTTGGTTCTTTTGTGCAATAAAACTGTCGGATAAATAGAAAATCCCAAAGTACAGCACAAACACAGACAGCTTACAAGGACAATTTTCCAGTTTATTGAGAAATTTCTTCTTAAAACTCTGTTTATTTTTCTAATGGTATATTTATATTCGTCAGCGGAAGCCAATGAAATTAATCTATTGGGCATCTCTACTGGAAAATGATTACATAATCCAAAAATTGTGATATTTCCATCGGATCGTATTATGATAGGTTCCTTTCGAGTACTATTAGACATTACAGTTGAAGGAGTTCATTTAAATGGTATTTTTTTAATTGTGTTTAGGAATTGACACTGACAGTATTTATTTCCCATTCTTCTTCTTAATTTTATTTGACACGCGGTTTTGACAGCATGGTAATATCAAACATGCCATTATCTAAACAGAAATAAATGGCTGACAGGCCGAAGTTTAGCGAGTTTTATTAATTTTTTCGGTATTTCCCTTTCATTTTTGCCCCATTTAGCAAATTTTTTCACTGTTCTGCAAGTATTTTTCTGTGTGTCCAAATCATCAGATTCTTTCGCACTCGCCTGTAGCAGCCTCCTCGAGAATGTTTCATGTCTTCTTTCTGGTTGGCGATTTGTATTTCACAGGTAGATACATCAAATACAGATTATCAACCACAAATGTCAATTTGTTCACCGATGCCCAAAGGAATATAAATCTTAAAAAAATATATTACTGATCTTACGTAGTGAGGTCATTGACCTAAAATATATATTTCATTTGATATTTTCGAAACTATTATTTTATATAACGAAGCATTTCTCTAAAATTATTATTTAACGACCCTGTGTTGGTCTATACTTTTGGACCCATCTAGAAATATCTAGAATAGATTTTTTTTTCTTCTCATAAAATGTTTATTTACATCTATTTTAATGTTCGTTACAACACCCGTTATAAGATCGTAGGAAACTACAAACAATATGAGTCCTAGTTATATCAGTGTATGTGAAACATAGATCATGCCTCATAAAATAATACAAAAGTAAAAAATAAAACTTTATTACATTTCTGTAATATGTATAACCAGCAGATTTATTTAAAATTACAAATATATATATATATATATATATATACAAAAGTAAAAAATAAAACTTTATTACATTTCTGTAATATGTATAACCAGCAGATTTATTTAAAATTACAAATATATATATATATATATATATATATATATATATATATATATATACACACATATATATATATATATATATATACATATATATATATATATATATATATATATATATATATATATATATATATATATATATATATATAGTAAACTCTTTAATATTGGGGAAATCTGCAAGAAAAACTCTAATGTGTATCAATTTTTTCGCCGAACGTTTTCGCCAAAAAGAATTAATTTGGCTTCTTCAGGGCTGAAAGAGAATAAATTATAATTAGCTACCATATATTATCTAATAAAAAACATTTACCTTACCGTAAATTTTAGAAATGTCGAGTTAGGATATTAAAAAACTTAGCTAGTAACGACATAGTGGTGTTTTTTTGTTACTATGTGCAAAAAAGTTTTTTTGTTAACGTTGGAAATGTATGGTAGCTTTGAACTTAAAACGCAAAGGTTTACCCAAGGTTAATCGAAAAACCCAATGTAACTACATTTAAAGGAAGTAATTCTTTGAATTGTCGGCAATAACTAAATTTTTGATTGTTATAAAGTTTGAATGTGAGGTTCTGTTTTCATAGAACGCAAGCGCTGACAAATACAAGTAGGACTTTTGAATATTTATGTCGTTAAGGTTCATTGGTAACAACCGATGAAGTTAGATCCCAGTCTGGGGAGATATTAGTTTAGAATTTTCTTAACTGAATTCTGTATATATATATATATATATATATATATATATATATATATATATATATACAGATTGAACGAATTTAAAACGCATCATACAATTTAATATATGTCTGTTTGAACTGAATTTGAAATAGTGGACCAATATAAAACTTAGACAAAAATAAAATATAAAAATAATTATATACTAATGACAGTAAACCATGAGATATCAGATATCAACTTTTATTTGTCAGTTCGTTAATGTCGGTGTCCCGTTTTACGTTTTGGTAAGACATATGTTACAGTATATGTTTGTCCTTATATATGTACATTTTAGAATCTTCACAAAGGCAAGGGTTTCCTGCCGAAACGTTGATTGAGATGGAAAATAAAATCTAGTTCCACATGTAATATATCTTTATTGAACCTAAACCCAAGAAACACTAATTTTTTATTATATATATATATATATATATACGACCAGGAATTTTGACACTATTTTTACAAAATCATTTACTGGAAATATAAATATTATTATTATTCTAAATATTTTTTTATTTTAGGCGGGACGATACGAGGAACCTCCATTTTTATCTCTAGAGAGTCTAAGGTTAATCAGATCTATGCTTCAAGTCGATCCGAAAAAACGAATCACCGTTAACAACCTCCTTAATCATCAGTGGCTAACTCTTGGTGTTCTCGAGCCAGTCCAAGTAGTATGTCAGAGTTCCAAAAATATTTATCAGAGAGAATGCGTCGAAGTTATGGCTAGTCATTATCAATTAGAAAGTAAAACCTTGTGGCACCATCTCAGAAAATGGAAATATGATTATCATACGGCTACTTATCTGTTATTACTTAGTAAGAAGAAGAAAAAAGGATCTAATTTAAAGCTTAATAATATATCCAGACAAACTTTTATAGACATTAATAATGTGAGTAAGAAAAATCAATTTTGTGTTACACCACAGTATATGTTAATTATTAACACATCATTCTTAACGGAAAGTATTGAAATAATATCTACAATAAATGAATTATTGAGGAGAATACACCTTCGGTACGATATATACTCGTAGTTGAACTCGTACTAGTATACATAAAGGTAGATAATTTTAGAATCAAAGGAAAACGTTTTCTCTTCTTGTTTGGACATATGTTTGGATCCTATAATTATACATAAGTAGTAATGATTTGTAGAGTCCAAAGAAAAAAAAACTACAGTTCACTAAAAATTGGTCTCTCCTTATCTATGCTCTAGTTTATATTCCACTTAACTCCTTTCTATTCTACTATACTCTTGTATAGTCTACCCCAGCGTTTTCCAACCATTTTTGGCCTGCGGACCAGTAAAATTAAAAAAAAAAAATACGCGCACCAGTAATATTTTTTTAAAATCTTACTAAAAATTAAAGAACTACTACATAAGTTAATTGCAACATTTTTATAGCCATTTACTTACAATAATTTAAATGTATAGACATGTAATTATATATACATATACAAATTACATAATATATAAGCTTTAACAAAAATCACTAAAAAATAAGATCAAAAGCTTTGACAAAAAATGTAATAATTATTAATAATTAATAACAAAAATTATAACAAAAAAAAATCATAAAATCATTGCATATGAGCACAACAATGTAACTATAACAATATAACTAACAATACTACACAAATAATTTAACATCTATAATATTTATATTGGCATGTATTGTTAATGAGACGATTGCGGCTACTCTTCTTTAATCAGCTTTTCAATTGTGGATTCTAAATTAGTCAAGCTAAGACGGAGTGGACAAATAACCGAAAGATTCTAAATTTATTTGTTATTACTATAATAGATGCAAGTGCCGGTTTGCATAAATATGTAGTTGCGAAAGGGACTAAAATGTTCGTTGCTTTCTCGTATAAAGATTGGATACTCATTTTTCAATTTGATCGAAATAGATATTGTTGAAAACCTAGCTTTTAACATAATTTATGTACTAATCTCAAAGAGGGACTCATATTAACTGTCACTTAATTTTGTCTTACTTCAATACTGTCGTAAGTAAATCGAATGTCTCCCTGTCTGAGTGTTATGATATATTACATTAATATAATAAAGCGATAGCGGCTTTCGCTAAAAGATTTAATCTTTCACATTTCGCATAGCACAAAGGATACAGAAAACGATATTATCATATCGTTTCGTTCACGGTCACCAAAGCAGGTGGCGCCTTTGTAAGCTAACTACGCAGTAGTAAAGTTCTGGGAGACATTCGTTTTACTTTCCGAGTTTGAATTTGTATCAGCCCAAGTGTCTGACGATGGCTGGGATAGGCCGAAATCGTCATAACACTTTAGTGATACCGATTCGAGCACGGGAAGTTTAACGAATTTGTCTCCTAGGCCTTATATTTGGCCTTTTAATGTAATAAAGCGATAGCGGCTTTCGCTAAAAGATTTAATCTTTCATATATATATATATATATATATATATATATATATATATATATATATATATATATATATATATATAATATATATATATATATATATATATATATATATATAATATATATATATATATATATATATATATATATATATATATATATATATATATATATATATATAATATAGTAAACCACTACTTAGTAACTAATAGTAATATATATAGTAAACTCTTAAATATTGACTTTTCTTTAAAAAACTTAGTTTTACATCACCATTTGTGTCCTTTGTTGAGATTACTTTGCCTATGTAATAAACATCTCTCAAGTCTGTAGTCTCAAACTTAACAAGGACAAAATCTTCAACATTTGGGTCTTCATCAAGGAGCTTAAATTTTGAAAGATCAACTTTTTCTTGCTAGTGAGTGCCAGTGTCTGAAAACTCCTCCTCAATATTGCAGGAAGCAGAAATTTCAAATTCCTCGCTGCTCTCACTTGAAACGTAGTGTTTTATGTCTGACTGCCCTTTTGCACTTCGAGAAGATAGCTTTGACATGTCTCTTTGTCCCACGATTTTTATAAAAACTGCGTTTTTCGAGTCTCTCCTCTATTTTAGCCTTTTCAGGGGTGTCAGTGACTATACTGCTTGAAAGCTTGCAACGGGCCTTCCTCGCACCTTTTCTTTCGCCTGCCTTTGGAAAACATTTCAAAATGTGGGGACTGACAAATTTTCGAGTTAATTGGCAGCTTATAGGGCTTGGAATAGATTGAGTGTTGATTGGCGGTTCATCAACTTCCTCTTGAATAGCGCCAGACAAATGTGTGCAGCTAACAACAGGATCTGTGGACGTTGATGGTTCTCCTTCTTCTTCATGAATAATTCTGAGTGGGTTGTTGTTAAGATCTATGTCACTTACGTAGCTCATAAGGAAGTCATCTTCAATGAAAATGTCACTATCATATGGAACCATTCCACATTTTTTAAAACCAGATTTCATGTTAGCCGGTGTAAGCACCTTTTCATGAGCAACTCAAACTCACTGTGCAACCTGGTAAATTAATAATGGTATGCCTGGGTAATGTAAAAGCCATGAATCAACAGCAGCATTGTAATGTACCTTAAGAGCGTAGGCGCAAAATTTCAGGCCAATGCTTTTTAAATGCTTTAATTTTTTTTAAATTCTGAGAAAACTAATGAATATTTTTGAAAAATTTAAACGCAGAATGAAAGAATGCATTATTACCGAGGGCTGAAAGTCCCTGAAAGCTTCTATAATGTTTATTTTAATAAGTTACAGGGGTGAAAAAACAAAAAGGGAAAATTTAGTGTGATTTTTAATTTCAAATATCTCATTCAAAAAAACTTTTTGTTTATTCTAAGGGACTTTTGGCCTTCGGTAATAATGTAATATTTCATTCTGCGTTTAAATTTTTCAAAAATATTTGTTAGTTTTTCAGGATTCGAAAAAAAATGAATATATTTAAAAAGCATTGGCCGAAATTTTGCGCCTACGCTCTTAAATGGCTGATAAACAGCCACACCATGTGGTTGCAGTTTGTTACTGCACTGAATAGGTATTGTAACAATAGTCACTCCATTTTCTTTGGTAAGGTTTAATGTTGGAACACTCAAATGACTTTCATGGTTGTCAAATATAAGACACGTAGGGTTCTCCTTTGTGGACCCACTGTGTTTTATAAAGTGTTCCATAACTTTAACAAACGCCGCCTCTCCATTCATTCAGCCATTGTTAGTGACCAATCCCAGAGTCCCTGGAGGAGCAGCACTGATCATGTGCTCTATGAAATTTTTTCATGGGAAAATCATTGCCGGAGGTAAACTATTTCCAGAAGCGCTTACTATGCAGCATGTCGTAACGAGCACTCCTCTTTCCCCACTGGTACATTTTCTTTCCCGTTTACTACCCTTAGGTGCGAGTACTTTCTTTGGTTTATTAACAGTTGTTGTTGCAGTCCCATCTAAATTGTAAATGCGCAGCCCATCAGAAAAACAGTCTGAACGGTCATTGACTTTACACATTGACATTGACATACTGACTTTAAGTTGTGGAAGAAAATACCAACGTTATGTTTGTTGAAAGATGTAGCCCTTGACAAACTACATGCTTCCGATTGACGTATACGCAATTGTGGATGGCGCTTTAAAAACCCTGCATCCAGTCAATGCCTTCTTTTTTATTTTTAGTCCAGCTCTTAGGGACTGGTATATTATTGGCTTGGGCCACCTCAAAGGCCAGCTCACGAAAATCTTTTGTTGATTTGCCATAGCACATCTTGGAACAAATAGTGATATAGTCCAATAAAGATGCTTCTTCATTATTGAAAATTTTTCTGCAGGTGTAGCTTCGAGCCATACGAATATCTTGATCAGGATTGGCTTTCTGTTTAGCAACATACCTTTGCAAAGTTTGAAATTTTAGACCAATTCTTCTGCAGCTTGACGCAAAGACAGACGTATACCCCTACTTCTAACTAGAACTGCATCCACTGCCTGCTTCATGCTTTCAGTAGAAAACTACCCCTTGTCGGATTTCCGCTTTCATGCTGTCGACATTCTGCAACCTGAAAAAAATAAATACAAAAATTAATAAAAATCAAATCTAAAATCAAAAAATAAATAAATAGTAAAAAAATAAAATTTTGTTATGTAAGAAAATATTAGTGAATTAAATTTTCAAGTATTTTATTCAACCTAGCTCATTTCTTATAAGTAAAATGATTTATTTTTAAAATTACTGTATTTAAAAAGCAACTTTAGCAAATTGAGCTATATAAACAGGTTTCACATGTTAGTTATAAAAAGTAACAGAATATCTGCTTACCTGGTTAATATTTTGTGATGAAATAGAGTGATGAAAAAACTACGAAGGTCAAAAAATCTGTAGTAGACTGATATCAGCCATTTGCAATGTGGAGTTATGGGTAAAGATGAAATTTATAGAATCGCTTATAGAGTGCAGCACCTGTCAAGCCCCTCCTAAATTTAAATACTTTTACTGTCTCATAGTTGCTCCCTCTATCCTATACATATATATATATATATATATACAGTGTAGGTAAAAGTTTATGGTCGGTATGGTAAAATTTAACAGGATATCTAACGCAGATATAAAATCATGTTTTCAGCGAATTAGACAAAGATAACAATCATATTTCCCCTTCGTCTCCCCTCCTAAAATCCTTTTAACACTCATTGGCCATTGCCCATTAGTGAGACGATTAGTTCCGATCAGATATTCTCTGGTTCCGATCCTAATATACCTAAAAAACTAGGTGGGTCCTCTCGTTTTTTTAATTTTTATCGGAACCGTTTTTCGTAAACTGTAACTAGTTGATTGTTTACCAGTATTCAAATTAGCGAGTAAACAAACATATTGGCTATTATCGTTTATGTGTATAAGTATTGAAATAAAAGAACCTAACGAAGGATATATTTATTGTAACTTGAAAAATAAATTAAATAATACAAA